GGAGAGTTTCTCTCTTCCCACGTCTCTACACGTTTGCCTTTTCCAAATTCGTGCAGAGCTTTTGTGGCTCCTTGCTCAGTTTTACCTGTTCAGTCTGCTGAGGTTATTTTGAACACTGATTTTTAGTTCAGGTCTTATCATATTCTCTATTCACCTTTTTGATATGTACAATCTTCTCTGGTTTCTAGACTTTCATTAACAGATGGAAGGTATGGGGTTGAAAGCAGAAAATGATCCATAATCAATGTCCCTTGCCAGTCACCTCCCATTCCCAGAGCCCTCCAGATGTGACCTAAACTCATAGTTGTTGTATATTTCTTTATCGAGCAGCAGCTGAGCAATGTGGCCAAAAGTCCTTCCTTTCCCAGCCTCCTTCCTCTTCTGATGCCAAGAACTCTGGAGCTGTTGCTCAGTTGCCGGCTAATGTTTTCTGAACCAGACATAGATTAGTTATTGCAATAATAATCATAATACTCCTGTGAATTTGCGCCACATATGCCCTCCCCTCCCCTTTCACACTTCTTATCCTGTTTTATCTGAGACCAGGCTTGGCAGCTTAAAAGGCAACTGGCTCACAGTCAAGAAGTCCATGGTAAGTCCACGGTGTGAACCTGGCACTCTGCCTCTCTGGTGAGACTTCCATAGAACTGGATGGTGGCTAGAGGCAAGCAGTGGGATCATCTGGCATTTCTAAGCCTGGTGGAAGGGAGAAGCACGATGAAATCCCCAAAGACAGCATGGGGTACCTGCGGGGGGCAGGTGCCTGGGCTCCAGGGCTAGCCCAACATTCTGAAAGCAGCAGAACAGCGGTGGATTGGGCTCCGTGATTAAAGTTTTCTAAAAGAAAACTCAATAATTTCTGAAAATCTACTTTGAACAATTCCAAAAAATCTCCAGATCTAAACCAGGCTCTATCCCACTCACTCCTGTTCCAACCCAACTACAAAATGTGGGTGGTTTGAAAGGAACAAAAAAAGATCAAAATGGTGACAGCCCTCTGACAACATTTTAACTTGAAAATTGCCTCCAAATGGATGGTATAATTCTGTGTAGGCAGATGTAAATCAGGCACAGACTTACTCAGATCCCCCTCATTCTTATTTCTTTTCCACACCTTGGACAGTCACAGCCCTGGGGGTGACCAAGGCCAGCCGAGGCTGATTCAACCTGGCTTGCTCTGGGAAACCCACCATGAGTGCCCAGTGGATGGTCCTTTTCTTTCTCCAAACTTGCTCATCTTGTGTCTCTCTCCTGGCCCTCACTGCCCTCATCTGGCCTATTCTCCTAAATTGATTGTTGGCTCCCTCAGCATGCCCCTAGCCCTAGGCTCAGTGTGTATCAGCAAGGGATCACTGAGTATTTAGAGGGCGGACAGAGTCAGGAGATAGGGCTCAGGCCCTAAGCAGCCCTCTCTAGGACTTTGCTGGTGTCTAGAAACAGTCCAAATGGCTAATTGAGCATAATTCTTTCTACCTCAAAAAATGTTTTCTTAGTATAATGCTTTGAATAAGAAATGTCTCTCATAGGCTCACATATTTGAACAACTGGTCCCCCATTGGTGGCTGTCTTTGGCAAGGTTATGGAACCTTTAGATGATAGAGCCTTGCTATAGAAACTACATCGCTGGGGGTAGATGGACATGGGGAGTTTATAGTGTCACCCCACTTCCAGTTTGCTCTGCTTTGAGTTTGAGGTTGAGGTGTGAGCTCTCAGCTTCCTGCTTGGGCTACACTACCTGTTGTCATTCTCATTCTCTCTCTGTCTCTCTCTCTGTCTCTCTCTCTGTCTCTCTGTCTCTCTGTCTCTCTCTCTCTCTCTCTCTCTCTCTCTCTCTCTGTAGGCCAAAGTAAACTGTCTTCCAAAAGTCACTTTTAGTCATGGTACATTATCACAGCAACAAAAAATCACCAATACTCTTAGATAATAGAGGTGATTCCCTGTGGTGCCTTCCCCACCTGGGAAGCTGGGGTTAATTGCACCTGCTACCTGCCTTTGTTCATACTCCATGCCTGGCCTTTCCCCATGCCAGGTCCTTTTAAAGTCTGACGTGGGGGTTGGTGGTAAGAGGAGGCTGAGCTGCACTTTCTCCCTGAGAAAGAACAGAGCTGGAGTTCTAGAAAGGTGCTTCCCATACCTGGGTTATGTTCTCTATCCCCCTTTGAGGCCCTTTTTCCAGGCTCTGTGGCCTGATGGGTGATTCTCACAGTGACAGTACTCCTAATAATAGTGGCTACAGGGAGGGGTACCTGAGGATACAGGGGGACCATTGTGGGCAAGAGGAAGAGCAGATTAAGGAAACGGATAGAGTCACTTTGCCTCCCAGAACTCCTGGATCTCCTCAGCTCTGTCCCCACTAAAGTAACTTCCCATCAGCAAAGTGTAGCAGCTCTTGTTCATCTGGGATTGTGGGGGTGGGAGGGCCTTCATGCTCTAAGCCATAGATGGCCAGGGGACAGAGGACGGGGCAGGATATGAGGTATGAGAACTAACGACCCACCTTTCCCACAGCCTAGGAGCCAGGTAGTATGCATAGAACTAGCTCACTCCCTGAACATTTGGCTTCCCAGGACCCTCCAGGGTCCTATGTTCTCATCACAGTTTAGAAGGCTGGCGTAGATCATTTCTCCTCATCCAGCAGCCCCACCGCCCTGTCTGGCTACAGTTTGCTACTCCATGGCCCCCACACAGACCTGTGGCTAACATAGACTCAGCTCTACAAGTCTCCTTTCACGATGCTTCCCAAAGGGAAAAAGGGACCCCCACGCAAATGAAAAGCACTACAGAAGCAGGGCTTCAGGGGGTTGCCTCATGTGGAGCAAGGTAAAGCCCCTGTCTCTCGGTGCTGGGGATGAGTCGAGACCCAACCAGAGCCAGGCATCTGCTCTTGGGCTTCCCTGTGGTCTTGCCTTTCCTGCCCTACAGAGGAGCTAAAACCCAGTGCACATGACTCTGATGGGTCCCATTTGCTCAAAATGGGCCATTGGAACCAGGCACATGCCCAGTACTCAGAAGGCAGATGCAGGCAAATCTTTATGAGTTGGAGAGTAGCCTGGCTTATATCTGAGTTCTGGACAGACAAGGATACATAATGAGATCCTCTTTTTTTTTTTTTTTTTTTTTTTTTTTTTTTTTTTTAAAGCTCTTTTCTGTGGGCACTTCTGCTAGGTGGGCACTGCCCATGCATATGTCCGTTGTATGCACACTTGTGTTCTTATGATCAGAGGAATGACATATGCGTATCTGTGTTTATACACGTTCCCACACTGAAGGCCTATTCACAGTGGAGATGGGACACTGGGCCCTGAGGACCCAAGGAAACCTAGGCTCCAGAACTGGGCCTGGGCTGGCTGAAAGGACTGGAGGCACAGCTGTACCCAGAAGTCATGCCTAAGCCCCATGGCCTCGCCTCCCCAACCCTGAAGCCTGTACCCGTGCAGCTCAGCACCGAAAGCTCAGGACCCCGCAGCGTCCTGCTCTTGTTCTCTTCCAACACAACCCAGGCCATTATTCTGCCTTCAGCCCGCAGCCAGCATAGACCCAAGGTGTAGGAGGGGGTAGCCTCTGAGGACGGGTGGTTGCTGAGGACAGGTGGGCTCTGTGTTCACTTTATGCTTAGCCTGGCTGTCCACAGACACTGTGGGGACCGACAGCTGTGGGGATCCACCCAGGCAAGGTCACTCAGGCCCTGGTGAGGAACCTGGGCTTCAGAGATGCGGAGAAGTTTCCTAGACAGCTCTTCTCTGCAGTCAGACTATAGAACCTCTTGTTGATGGGATGGTGAAAGAGGACCAAAGAACTCACATGTATCTGCATATGTATAGGAAAAGCAAAAAAAAAAAAAAAAAATACAATGGAAAGGTCAGATGTGTCATTTCTTAAGTTGAAGGTAAGAACATTATTTCACTTTCACTTTTTGGTTTGGTTGAAATAGTTCATTATCAATTAATGAAAAGAAAAAAAAAAAAAGCATCAATTTTGTTAGCAAAGAAAGGCCTAGAATTTAGGTTCATTTCTGCCTCTTAAGAGCTTTGTGACCTGAGGCAAAAATTTAACCTCTCTGAGCCTGTTAATCATATGTAAAACAGGGCTCATAGAATTGTGTGAACATCACCCCTGAAACTCTAACACCCCTTCCCTGAGTCATAGCCCAAGAGATCCAACACTGGCCCTCAGAGCCCTGTGAGAACCAGTTAAGGCTCCCTGCCCATCCCAAGCTGACTTCACCACTGCAGGACACCTCTTTAGGCAGGGCAGAGGCCATGGTCAGAGCAGGTTTTTTGTTGGAAGGGGAAGGGTAACTTACAAGAAAGCAGTGTTGCCTCAGTCTAACCCCTGTAGCCTTTTAGCTGAGGGGTAGGGCAGCAAGGAGGGGTGATGGACACAGCTCTGATGAGATCTTCCTTGTAGGATGTGTGGAAGGAAACATGGGCTAGAACAGGGAGCCAGGTCCTCTCACCTTGAACACCTAGGACTAGAGGGTCAGTAACCTTTGGGGGAACTGCCTGAACAAACAGCTCCTCCCCGCTATGTTACCTGTAAGGAGTAAATGTGCCTCTCATAGGAATGTAGGTTTCCCCCCTTCATCCCCCACTACCACACAGGCATTTGGATTTTTTTTTTTTATCTTTTTGTGACAAGATCTCCTTGTAACCCCAGCTGGCCTGGAACTCACTATGTAGACCAGGCTGGCCTTGAACTTACAGAGATCCACCTGCCTCTGCCTCCGGAGTGCTGGGAGTAAAGGTGTGCACCACCATGCCTGGCAAGGCATTTGGATTCTTGTACAACCAGGCAGCCTGTTCCCCGGGAGGTCCCCAGGGAAGGCAATGTAGCTTTTGTCTGTCTGGGTTCTCTTGCTCTCTCTCTCTCTCTCTCTCTCTCTCTCTCTCTCTCTCACACACACACACACACACACACATATACTTAACACACCAACCAGTATGTGTGCATCAGACCTTCCTATGGAGTGGGGAAAAGAACAGACATCATTCTTAACAAACTTAAAACACAATGTGGCTCATTTTATTTTATCTCAGAAAAAAAAACCCACTCCTTTCATATGGAAAGGCATACAGGGCCTCTAATGGGGCAGCTCTGAGCTACCCAGGCTCAGGTCCACAGCCTGCCGGCCCTGACCTCTCCCCTGGGGCCAGAACCCATGCTCTGGCACTATTCCCTTCACAGTTCCTGTCCTCCAGCCCAGTTTTGTTGCCCCAAGAGATGGCCCTGTGACTGAGTGTGTGGCAGCTTGTGGACTGCCTGAGGCTCCTTTGGAAGACTCCTGGTGCTGGGATGACAGGAGGGTCAACAACAGACCCAGCAGCCAGGGAGGGAAAGATAATAAAATAGAAGGGATTTCCTCACATTTATATCTTCGGAAAAAATAGTCTAGTGCCACTTCCAGGCATGCAGCTCCCTGAGCCCTAGAAAGTCTGGGGAGGGTAGTGTTTGCATGGCAGGAGGCCTGAGGCAGCCACTCCCAGGCATCAGGCTAGGTCTTCTAAGCCACAGTGGCTCTACAGAGACAAGGTAGGGCTTTTTGATGCTTGTGGAGTGTGGGAGCTGCTGCTGTACCCTGGCCTAGTAGGCCAGGGCCTTGCAGCATAAAACATCTGCTTCTTCAGACCCTAGGCTTTCTTACTGGGCCTCATGCTGCTCCAATTTGATGCATCCTCTTCTCAGAGCAAAGTGGGAACCAGATGCCTGGTAGATCTCCTGACACTTTCTTCTGACATACTTTCTTCTCTCAGTGAGACTGGTCCAGCCAACCAAAAGATAAAGATTTCTTTTCCTCAGGAAGGAGAAAAGTCTGTGGACCATGAGGCCATTTCTGCTCTGCCCTGAGCCAGAGGATCCACTAGGCCAGGGGCCTCCTGGCATGCTTCCTGATGCTCATGGGTAAGGAGCTCCACATCTGGAAGGCCCACATCCCCATGAAACCCTTGGGTACTCCCTCCACTCACCAGCCCGAGGGTGTAGCCATTGGGCCGTCGTTCAGGATGGGGGGCACTACCATTAGCCCACACTCCCAGGGGGTGGCCGTTGAGGCGAAGGCTGACCTGCTCTCCCTCAGTGCTGTGAGCAGCCAAGGCCCGGGCACTGGTACCCCCTGCCTTGAAGGGTTCCTGCCGACGCCTCAGGACGTGGCTGCGAATGATCTTGCGGAAGGTCTGGCGGAATTCACGGATCCTGTAGGCATAGATGAAGGGATTGACAACAGAATTGCTGTGGGAGAGGACGATGGCCAGGTACATGAGCCACAGAGGGGCGTGGCTGCATGAGGGACAGAAGAAGGTGAAGCAGTTGATGACGTGCAGCGGCAACCAGCAGAGGGCGAAGAGCCCCACGATGATGGCCAGGGACTTGGCCGCATGGACCTCCTTCTGTAGTGTAGACCTAGCCCGCTCCCCTGGTAGGGGTTGGCTCTCCATCTGCTTCAGCTGTCGCCGGGCTGCCAGAAAGATCCGCAAGTAGATGCCCAGCATGAGCAGCAGAGGCACAAGCACGAAAGCAAAGAAGTTGTAGTACACCATGTAGTTCATGGGTACCACATCCTCAAAGAGACAGGTCACCTGGCCCTCGTCACAGGGCTGCTGTGTGTTGTTCTCGACTCCCTTGACCTGACTGCAGCTGTTCCAGCCCAGCATGGGGGTCAGGCCAATGGCAAATGACAGCACCCAGCAAATTGCAATGATGCCCTTCGCCCTCACACCTGTCACCAAGCCATTGTACCTGAGGAGAGAAGACTATCATTAGAGGCCTGAGAAACCAGGGCCTAGCCAGGCCACAAGTCGAGAAACCGAAGCCCAGCCAATCTGTGTAGTGGCTGTAGGGTCTTGCGCTGGACACTCCCCTTCTAGCCTAGGTGTATACTTCTAAGTGAGGTGTTGGGCTTTGCCATTCTCACAAGCTGCTGGGAGGTAATGGGAAAGCAAGCACCTAGACTTGGAAAGAATCATACAAATGTTCAGATGTTAGATGGTCTTAGGTATAGTATTGAGGCTTGATTTGAGAGAAATAAGTGACCTGACGGGGAGAAATACCACATCCATGTTGGCTGGTCTTGGTTCATATTACAACACACTTCACTTTAGAGTGGGACAGGTCTAGAGTTGGAGCAGAACCAGCCAGATCAGACCGGTAAGATGATCTCAGTTATTTCTTTTCCACTCTTTTTCTTCCCCATTTGACTTGAGTCTCCAGAAACAAACCCCCCACCCCATACCCAAGGAGAGGCTGTCTAGGGCATAAAGGAGTGGAAGTTCCAAGCCAGATGAAATACTATCTCCCCTCCAAATCTCACCGTCCTCTGGAAAGGAACGGGGACAATTATGTATTGGCATTTATCCGCTGTCTTAGTAATCAAGAGGAAGTACTTCGATGAGGGACTGAAGTCCCGGGGAAGGACAGTAATCTGCCTCAAGTCACTCAGTTGTTTCTGAGAGTCAGATAAAAATTCACTCCTGCTGATTGCCAGGCCAACTTAGGGAGTGGTTTGATCTGTCGGTCAGGAAGTAGCCTCAGCCCCACTGGAATGGAAAGGTGCCATCAGCTATGTAAAAGAACAGGCACTCAAAAAAGTCTCCTTGATTGAAAAAGACAGCCTGGGTGACTTCTGAGGGATGGCCTGGTGTGTAATAGTTTTGATTCTGACAAAACTAGATGACCCTCCCTACAGACTGCAAGTCCTCGTTCTTCAAGTTCAGGATAGACACCTTTGGAGAGACGCTTCCTGCCTCACCTGAAGCCAAGAGCCCACTGAGAGGAGGGCTCTCCTACTTCCATCTCTACATCACCAGCCAGGGTCAGGGACACACAGCAGGTGATGCGGAAAAAGTGCACACTACTTAATTCCGGAGTTTTAGCAGTCATAGAAAGGGTACCACCCATGGGCGGCAATTTTTCTGGACAAAATCTCCCATTTTAAATGTTGTTAATTAAGAAAACCCCTAGTAGCCTCTGTCCTCTTCTTGAACTTATTCTATTTTAGAGATGGGGAAACTGAGACCCAAGGAGAGGAATGGACTTGCTGTGAACATTCGAAGGTCTAGGGTCAACTCAAACCCTGGTGAATTAGTTCTGAATCTTACATGCACACCCCACTCCCTTGTGGTGCTGGGGATCAAATCCAGGGTCTTGTATATGTCAGACAAACATTCTGCCACTGAGCTACAACTCCAGCCCTGAAAATTCAGAATCTAAACTGTGATTGCCTGGCTCCTTCTCAGAAGCTCCACAGGCCCACACAGCAGGGCCCTGCTCACCTGCCTCAGGGCCCTGCAGGAGGGTCATGGACCTGCTTATTGCTACCAGGTGACAGAGAGCAAGTGCTGCCTGTCTCCTGGTCAAGAGGCTCAGACATGAAGTCCTAGGCTCCCCACTCCCATCTAATACATCCTCTGTACTAAGTTCTCTTCAATGGTGCTTTACATGATCCACACTAAAGGGGTCGCTACATTAGTGTTCAAATCTTTCCTGACAGAAGCATACCCTCCCTGGGTCCTAGTCCTGGTACATTTCTATAATCAGGAATGTTGTGTCACTTCACCTCTCTGAGCCTCAATTTCCCCATTTGTAAAATGAAACTAAGAATTTAAGAGCTGGTGCCACTGCCCCATAAGGGCAAAATGCAGGATGAGTGGAAACCTCAGGGAGGCAGAGTATGCCTCTCACAGAGCTTTTCAGCTGAGCTGTTCAGAGAAAGGGACTGCCTGGGATAGTGCTAAGCATCTAGCCATTTGAAGCTAGCATGCAGAGCACGCAGTTACAAAGATGGCATAGGGCCATCTGCCTTGATGGTTTTCAGACTGTTCTTAGAACATGACTTCTCACCCCTATCCAGGTGGAGGCCCTGGAGGAGGGGAACTTAATAATAATTAGCTATTACATTAACAAGTTGTTGGAGACAACAGGGCCAGGTCTGATAGCTTCTGGGAACACTTCATGAAATCCCTGGTCTGTCCAGTTTTACTTTCACAGACAAGGGAACTCACAAGGGGACTCTTCCACTGCACTCTGAAAAGAAAGTCCCTTGTGGGGACAGAAACCAAAATGTGTGCAGCAGTCTCCTATGTTGCTAAAGCACTAGGGGGATGGAGACAGCTTTTAATTATGGGACTTTTGTTCCTTTTTAATGTTTAAGCACATGCAATTTTTTATTATTACAAAAAACATCAAATATGGGGCTGGAGAGATGGTTCAGTGGTTAAGGGCACTGGCTGCTCTTGCAGAGGACCCAGATTCAGTTCCCAGCACCCACATGGCAGCTACCAGCCATCTATAACCCCAGTTCCAGGAGACCCGACACCCTCTTCTGACCTCTGTGGGCATTGCATGACATGGGTACACTTATATATATATGTAGGCAATACACTCATACACATAAAATAAAAATAAATAAAATATAAAAATCAAAATCAAATAGAAACATATACCCATATTCCCTACACTTGGGACATAGAGGCAGGAGAATCAGGAATTCAAGGTCATCCTTGACTATACAATGAGTTCCAGACCAGCCTAACCTAAATGGGACCCTGTCTCAAAACAACAAAAAACAAAATAACTGCAAATAGGACTGGAGGTATAACTCAGTGGTGGGGCATTTACCTAGCATGTGTGAGTCCCTAGATTCAATCTCAACATATACACATACCACACAATGTTAATCAAAGGAAAGCCCCTTAGGCTAAGGTGTCTGAGGGCCTAGGACAGTATCAGGGCCCAAATGGAACCATGGACGAACCATACCTAGCCCAATGATATAACCTGAGCTGCATCTGTGACTAACACAGCCTCATCCTGGCCAGACAGATACTGTACAGCTACAAGGGATGGTCATGCCATCTAGCATGACATGGAACCATTCCAGGGACCCAGAGGTAACAGAGGCTGTGGATGTCAGAGTTGCCAGCCTCTATTTTCAAGGAGGCCACTGCATCCCTGTATCCTCCAGCTTGTGGAGGCTGCCTTTCCCTGGGGATCCTGATTACTCACATTGGAAGCCTATTCTATGGCCCAAGAATACACCCCACAATTTCAGGTGGAGTTTCATGTGTATTTGTAACACACTGAGGACAAGGTAGAACTCTGTTAAGTTATCCCAAGGGATCACTGAGCCAAGAATTGAAGATCTAACCCAAAGGACAGGCCTAAATCAGCCTCACACCATAGTTGCCATGCAGATCCTCTCCTGTGACTCAATTCTCCCTGGTACAGCACCCACATATACTGACATGCTCACCCTTTCCTCAAGTTTTTTGACCAGACTTTACCCTCCTGGCATGCCTTCCCTCATATCATTAAGACCTACACACCCACCCATCTTTCTCCCAGGAAGTACTCCTTCCCAATTCTGTGCACATACCAGCACATTTGTGGTGATGAGAATGAAACCTAGGGAGTCACACATGCTGAGCAAGTAGTACTCTACCTCTGAGCTGTATCTCCAGTCCAAAGGGGCATACGGCTAAAAGGAAAACTTTTTCTTTCTTTCTGTAGGCCAGGGATACAGCCCAAAGCCTTAGGCATGCTAGGCAAGTGCTCTACTGCTGAGCTGGTCCTTAGCACTTTTACTCTTTCGGAAGTCAGAGAAATTAATTTCATAGGACTTCAGGCCTTTCACCAACTCCTGTATATACTTTAGCCTGTCTCTTGGGGATTAGAGCACCAGAGACATAGGACAGCAGTGCACAGGATCCCTAAGAGGCGGAGGCCCCTTACCCAAGGCTTTTCATCCTCTGTGGACACAAAGCCGTATATCTGCCTTTGGCTCAACTTCTTTCTCACCAACTAGGCCTTGCCCTAAGTTAACAGGGTTCTTGCACTCAAGAAGGAGGGGAAAATTGTTCTTAAGCTGAATTCTTCAAAACAACAAGAAAAGAATTACTGTGCATGGTGCAGGCCTAGGATTGATTATGTATCCATGAAAAGCTACATCTGGTGGACCTTGCAGGCAATGGCTTAGAGGAGGCTGTCCTGGCTGTGAAGGGGACAAAGGAGAAAGTGACAGTCCAAGCTAGACAAGCGCCTCCAAGCCAGGCAAGAGTTCCTGGCCCCCTGGACTATTTCCAGACTTCCTTCATGCTGGCTTGCTCTTGGGAGCCCCCATACAGATACCTTCATGTACCTAGCAACCAGGAGATTCGTGGAACAGGAAAGTAAAGGAGTTCAGTGGCCACGAGTAGAATGAAGGGCTCCAGAGTCCATTCAGGTTGGGTGATGCATAGATATCCTTCCCTGGTTCTGGCCTCCCCGTGAGTAACACAAGTGTTAAGACATCTGCTCTGGCTGCAAGGCTGGATCAGGATGATCAAAGGAGACTGCACCAACACCCCATGGCAATTGTAAAACTCTGCCCATAGAACAGGATGAGTGTCAGTGGGCATCTTCATTCTCGTCATCTCCTTGCGGTGACCAGCCTGAGCTTTCCAAAGCCTCCCTCAGAGCTCAATCAGCCCAAGGTCCAGGTGGAAGTAAGGTCTAGGTCCAGGAGGCTCTGGGGTCAGGGATGCAGACTGAAGTAGGGACAGGCCTCTAGCTTCAAGCCTCCAGCACCTTAAGAAAGAGTTGAATCCTCCCACTGTTAGCCTGCCCAGCCTTGGCATTGCTGTCCAGTTAATGAACCCTCATTCCTTTGTGAGCTCAGAACAGAGAAACTTGTCCCCTTGTTATAGATGAGACAACAGGCCTAGCACAGGGCAGCTGACTTTCCACAGCCACACAGGTCATTTCATCTCATTTCAGGGATTCATTCCCTTGACTCTCAGAAGACAAGACAGGGAGAGGCCACGGGGAGGAAAACAAGTTAAGGCCTTTAAATCGAGAACAGCCTTTCCTAGTAACACTGACCTTTCCTAGTAATTGCTGCCCTGAGTCAGAGAAGAAAGTGAAAGCTAAGCTACTGCTTCCCGTCGGTGCCCCACTACTGCACGGACCCAGCCTGACTGCCTGGGGTGGACACCAGCCCTCTGTCCTCCGCCCACCTGGAACCCACATGTAGACATCCCCTAGGCCTTTGTATTCTGAGCCCTCACTGCAGGACTTAGACACTGCTCTATTTCTAGAGCATAGGGTGTAGGCAGTGGGGGCCGGGCTGTCCTTACAGACTATCTTTAATCTGTCCCCCTTCTTATGACTAGCTGCTAGAGGCCCCTTCCTTTTGTTTTTACTTGTTATTTTGCTTAATCATTTTTCTTCTCTTTGATCAGGTGTCTCAGTAGAGAGCCCTAGCTGGTCTGGAACTCACGATCCTCTAGCCCTAGCTTGGAAAGTTCCAGGATTCCAAGTACGTGCTACCATGCCTGGCCGAGTCCCCTTTGACAAGGGCTTTAAGACAGCATAACGCACAGGCTCCACCCTTTTGTGTAGCCTGGTATGGGTGCTTGCTTCTCCCTTACAGCCCAAGTTATGGCAACAGCTATAGGATGCAACTTCCTCCAGGACACCGGGCTACTTGAGACAGGCCGCTCCCCAAAGACTGATGTCGTGGTGATGGCAGTCTGCGTTTCTTCCCAGGACTCATCCCAGTTCTGCTATCAACTCCTTGTGTGGCTCTGAGAGAGCTGGCCCCCTTCTCAGAGCCTCATTTTTCCATCCAGAAGATGAGAGGAAGGAAATGACCTCTAAGGGCTCTCTTGCACTGACGCAGAATTTCCATTGCTCACTGAGCAGTCTTCACTGCTGGGTGCCCTTAGCCCACAGTGGGGCTGCGGGTACTTCCTCTGTGGGTGGGGACTCCACCTGCTTGGGAAAACTTACACGGGGACTGTGCATTCCAATCCCTCATCATGGAACCCTCCCTCAAGGCCTGCAGCCACCCTAGCTGAGGAAGCTAGCTCACGGTAGAGTCAAGGAGATGGAATAAGAGGGCCTGGGTCCCCTGGGAGAAGGATACACTTTCTAGATTATCTATGGGCTGGGGAGGTGGAGGTCTCTGAGAAGGACTTCATTTTTACAATCCATGGCTGAAAAGATTCACCATAAAAGCCCCTTCCCACAACTAGTCCCTGAATGCTGGCTGAGTCCTCTCTTACCTCAGGAGCAGCATAATTTACATATAAGTCCAAGTGACTCACTGTGGCATTTGGTCAAGTCACTTCCCCTCTCTGGGTCACTCGCCTAATGTACACATTAGGGGGAAAAGCTGGTGGTGGCAGAGGCGGGCTCCTAGCTGAGGTCCTGTGGTTTCCTGTGGCTCCTTACCCACTTCAGATCATACAGGGAGTTTTGTTCTGATGTATGAAGAATGGCTCACGCACAGCTGCATTTAGTATCAGGGCAAGGCCATCCTCATCTGACAGTAGTCAAACATGGCAGGCTATAGACATGGGCCTGGGGGAGCTCTCTGTTTATGGGGATAAGCCAGACTAGCATTATAGCTGTCTACCTCTAGCTCTGGGAAGGCTCAAGCCAAGTCCGGGGGTCCTGTCCCCTGTGCCCACAGATCAAGCCTTAGGCATAGACATAAGCCCCTGGCTCACCGGAGTGGAATGCGGATGGCGATATAGCGGTCAATGGCAATGGCCAAGAGGCTGAAGATGGAGCTCTGCGTGAGGACCAGGACAAAACAGGCGAAGAAGAGGCAGCCATGGCAGGCAGCACAGAACCCAGTGCTGATGGTGATGGCGAAAGGGATGGCGAGCACACCCACTGCAATGTCAGCCGCCGCCAGTGACACCACAAAGTAGTTGGTGACATTCTGTAGGTTGCTGTTGATCCATACGGCCCAGCACACAAGCACGTTGCCCAGGACGGCCAGCACAGCAATGGCCAGCTCCACCGTGATGTACACCGAGGAGCCCATGGTGGGAGCAGCCACAGTCGGGCAGGCTCAGCAAGGACACGGGTCTGGGCCAGCTCACGGTCCATAGCTGCGGCCCAGCCGTCCACCTACCTAGGCCCCGCAGCCCTTTCCTCACAAGAGCCACGAGTGTCCCCAGAGGGAGCTCCCCAAGGGCTTTCTCACAAATGACTCTGCATCTTCTGAAATCATGCTTTCTCCAGGGGCTCTGGCATGGCTCAGCTCAGCTTCAGGGTTCCGAGGCACCTGCAAAGAGAGAGAGAAAGTCCAGGTGAGCAGCTGAACCACCACCGCCACTTTGGATTCCACCTCTGTTCTACCTCTGTTGCCTGAAGATGACTCCTATGCCTTTTCCAGTCTGCTGTGGTCATAGCCAGGACACAACAGAAGTGGGATTTGAATCTCCACTGCTAAGGAGGACACAGGTCAAGAGCTAACTGGTCCTAAAGGATTCCTGTCAAGATCTTCACCCAGCCCTTCTCAGGGATGCAGCCCCTTCTCCAGGCTCAACAGGACAGACAACAGGAGGGACTGCAGACAGACTGACCCACCCCTACTACCCAAGATGTTGGCTGTTCTCCAACCCCAGGTCAACACCTCCTAGCCAGGGCTGTGACTGAAGATTTTTATTTCTTTGGCAGCCTGGCCAGTCCTCGGGTCCCTGTACTCACAGCCAGCCCCATGACCCTCCCTCCGAGAAAACCCCTTTCTCATGAGGGCTTTCCCAATCTCACCTGCCTTCTCTCACTAGGTCTCCCTCCCAGCACAGCTCACCCTGCACCATCCTCTGCTTTCCAGGGAACTGCCATACCCACCGAAGGGATACCACTGCCCCTAAGGTCATGTCAGACACCCCCAGAGTTCCTTTTCAGAGGAATCTTTTAGTCCCGTCTCCCAGTTTGGGAAAATATTCGCTCTTACCCTCATAGGCAGCAAGGCAGGCTCCAAGCCAAACCCACTGTTCCAGGAGCCCCTGCCAGCAGGCTGTACGTCTAGGCAGGGCAGACACTGTGGTTGCTTTCCTGCTCTGAGGGATCCACCTCTCACTGTCCTCCCACGCCTCTCCCCACCTGTTCCTCTGCCTACCTGATGAGGGAATGATGCTTCAGCAAAGCAGATACTTAGCCGGGACTCACTGGGGGACTGTGGGTAAGAATGTTTTCTTTTCTGGGTCTCAGTTTCTCTATTTATCCTGTAACACTTCTGGGCCCCAGAGGGTACCTAGAGCCTATTTCAGCTCTCACCCATAATTCCATGAGAAGGAAATAAACAGTAGATTTGAAGAGGCTACCCCAGAGTCCAAATGTCAGAAATACAGGACTAGCCAGCACCCCTGGAGAGTAGGAGTCTTACTTTCCCAAAACAGGCCCAAGCCAAGACCAAACTAGTTGCTCCTCCCTGAGTTTGCAAAACTCAGTGTAAGTAGTATGCTTCTTCTCAAGCAAGAGCTGATGGACAGCCCCCCCATCCATCCCTGTCAATCCTGAACATCCATGGAACCCCAGGTGTGCTGAGAATGAGAGCCTTGAGGCTGCCTTTCAGCTGCTATGTGGACACATTTCCTTCTTCTCCCCTCTAGGATATGAGGGTTAGAGTGGGACTGGAGACCTGGGAGAAGGGTCTTCACCACTAGAAATGAGACAAAGAAGCAATACAGGGCTGAAAGAAATGAACCCCAGGTATAATATTGCCAGTGCTTCAGACTGGAGCTGAAGCAGGAGCAGATTGCAGCCATGTGGCATAGAGGTGCTTCTGTACCCAAAAAGTCATTTGTCCCCCCAGGAGGATGACATAGAAGGCTAGGACCTCTGGGGCTGGAGAGATGACTCAGCGGTTAAGAGCACTGACTACTCTTGCAGAGGACCTGGGTTTGACTCCCAGCACCCACATGGTGGCTAATAACCATCTGTAACTCCAGGTCCAGGGGAATCCGACACCTTCTTCTGACCTCCCCAGGCATTGCCCGACATAGGTATAGTTACATGCAGGCAATACACACATACAAAAATAATAAATAAAATATTTAAAAAAAGGCTGGGACCCATAAGGAAACCAGGAGGAGCCAAAATCTGCAGAAACTGAGGAGTCAAGCAGCCTGTGCAGCCCCTGGCCCTCCCTCCCCCAAAATCCCTTCCCCACTGGGCTTCCCTAACCCCACCTGCCTTCTCTCATCAGGCCAGGCTCCCAACCCAGCTCATCCTGCTCCAACCCCTGCTTTCTAGGGAACTACCATGTCCACCTAAAGGACACTATTGCCCTTAAAGTCATGCCAGATGCCATTGGCCAAATCCTTCTGAGTCTTAGATTTGTAGAAACCACTGCCAACTAGCTGCTCATAAAGCATGTCCCTGGCAGAAGGGCCAGACCCAATCTGGGTGCCACCTCCAGATACATACCATGTCCCTCTCTGCTCACAGTCTGCATTCACCAGGGGTCCACTCAACCCCAACAGGCCCAGGCCCAACAGATGCCTATGGAGCTGGGGCTGGCACTGGATCTGCTTCTGTGCTGTAGCCTTCAAGGTTTGATAGAAACAGCAGGCCACTGTCCAATCAGACCTACTGAGCCCCTGAAGAGCTACTACTTTCCAAGGAGCCTAACTCTTACAACTGGTGCCTCCTAGGGAAAGAGAAACAACCTGATGTCCCTTGAACCCTCTCTAATGGAATCTGCATTGAAGGACCCTGCAGCATTGTGCAATCAGACCAGTCCAGGTTAGAAAGCTGGCCTAGCCCATGACCATTGTCCACCATCAAGGGCCCCACAGGGACAAAGTGGAACATAACACATTTCTGAAAGGCAAGACGGCTTCAGCCCTGTTGCCCAAAGTCTCACTAATGGTCACACTGTCAGTGCTGGTCCCAGTAATTGCACTGACTCCACTGGTCAGGACACCAGACTTGGCAGGGTGGGTCTAACCCAGGCCTGTATTTGCTGAAGCTCTCTCAGCAGCTCTGGTACTTGCCTGAGCCATGGAGACCCAGTGCTGAACACTTCTGAGTACTATCATCCTTCCTCACTGTATTGAGACTGCTCTCCTATTCTCCAGCCTCACTGAATGCATCTGACCCACCACGCCAGCCTTGCATGGGCTAAAGACCCAGCCCAGCCTCCTGCCCCAGGCTCTCTAATTTGTCCTTCCTTCAACATTCATGCATGCTGTCTCAGTTGCTGCAACACATCCTAGGGGAAGCGCCTCTGGTCCCAAGGCCACCTGGGAAGCTGCCAAAACTGAATCTGCTCTCAGTTTGTGTCTTCATCAGCCCCAAGCTCCGAAGATCAGTAGAGCCAGAGGCAAGTCCCAGGACAGTTGGGAGAGAGGAGCCTTACAGGGGAAGGCTGGGGCTGCCTAGCTATAGGCCAGCAAAATAGCCCAGGGCCAGGGCACCATGACTTGTAGCCTGTCTTTGTAGTGTGAATGCTCCCACTGGGTCAGTTTAGACTATTGATGTGTCATTGACTAGAACTGAGGAACAGCACACACAGTTGACCACAAGCTGCTAGCCACTGCTGAACCACCAAGGCCTATTCACTCCAGGTGGCCACCTGTATGAATGCCAAGACACTACACTGGACCCTCTTTAAGAGCCTGTGTATCCTGTCTGGGAGTTTGGAAAATGACTGACAGCTGTGTTCTTGCTGACCTCTGAGGTCCATTTTTCAGATGACAAGTCAAAGCCTAACAGGTAAAAAGACCTCTCAGCCTTACCAGGAACATTTCAGGGTGGCGTAGAACTTTGGGGAGAATGCCAAGGAACATAGCAATGTGAAGATTTCCCTCACTGTGAAGCCTCTCAGAACCACAGGAAGGCTGGGGGCACAGAAGGGGTTGGGGGAGGGCCAGGATCTGCTAATTTCCTATCCATCTCTGCTGGCTCTGTGGGCTAATTAATCCTTAAGTCATCTGTTGCTAGCCAAGAGAGGAAATTAAATATTAATAATGTTGTATTTCCTCATGATTGTCCCTTGTTAGGGATGGGACAGAGGGCAGAAACTGTCCCATGTATACTATGGACACATGCTGCAGAACATGCATTATAAAACTTGAAAGAACAGCCCATTAGACTCCCAGCAGTCAGACTTAACACTGCTGCCTCTTCCTTCCTACCCACTCCCACCCTGACCCATACACTTTAATTAAAACCATTTAATCCAAATCCACACATCTCCTGACCCACCCCTAGGTGCTGTGTACACATGCCCAGATGGTGGCTCCACAGCCTTCTGGTGTATCTACCAGCTTCCAAGCAGCGCTCCACATACCTGCTCCTGGGTGTAGCCAAGGGCAAGGAACAGAGCAATGTAGAGACTGATCATTGACCATTGCAGCCATGTCAGGCTCTTTCCTGAGCTCCAGAATCTCAGCCACATATATTTATTATTTTATTTTATTTTTGAGACATAGTCTCATGTAGCCCAGCCTGGCCTCACACTTGCCATATAGCCAAGTATGACCCATAACTTCTCATCTTTCTGCTTTCCCTGTCCAAGGGCTAGGATTACAGGCATGCCTCGTTCTCATAGGCAATGTTCACCAGTTACCCCACTCTTCCGTGTCACAGGGAGCTTTATGTCGTCAGCTGCTGCACTTGACCCCTCCAGGCCCTGAGCCTACTGCAGGATGGGAGGACCTGGAAATTCTTCAATGGCAGCTGCCACTGTAGAGATTCAGGTACCTGCAGACCACTCCCTGACCTCAGGGCCACAGCTCCCACTTCAGATGAGTTGCAAACCAAATTTCAAAACACACAAAATTAAGACAATGAAAGATAAGTAAAAAGTATCAAAATCACAGGAGAGAAAGGTATGGAGTAATGTGATAATAAATTCAGATAGTTCAGGTACTCATAGAAACAAAGGAAGATCTCTAAACAACAACAAAAGGACTCGCAAACCCATTGGCAAACAAGAGCAGGCAACTACGAGCAAGAAACATAAGATCCTGGACAGGAAAAACAGGGATGGAAATAGAGAACACACCAACATGGTAGTACCAGGCCCAGAGGCAGCTGAGGACTGAGAAAGCGGTGGACTAAAGAGCACACTTAGGACTTCTTACAGCAATCTCACAGAGACGAAGTCTGGTTGAGAAGATCCGATATCTGTCATTTGGAAGTAGCTGGTGTGTGAAAAAACACCAGAGTGACAGCTGGATGGGCTGGTGTGTCCTGTACCCAAAGCACAGCCCTTCAGTGACTGGGAACAGGCTTCAAGAAGACTGGGGTCCCACTGAGCAGCCCCCAACACATCAGTCGGCACTACAGGTGCCTCTGAGCTTGCCTAGGTCTCTCTTCCTCCACAGATTCCCCCAGGGGTAGATAGCATCCCAATTCCAATATCTGGTAAAGACTGGGCCTCAAGTACTCAAGCAGGTGTCCCTCCCCCATCAACTGAGGCTATGTGGCTGCTGTTGTGTGCCTGGGGACAGGATGTGGGCAGAAACAGAGAACCAGTTCTCTGCAGCTGGAGGCCAGGGTACTGGGCTGCCTTTCTAAGTGTCTCTGCCACCATCCAGCCCCCAAGATTGCTTCAGCTTAGACCCTAAGGCCACTGGCCAGCTACATCTCCCTTCTCTCCCACTGAGGGCCTTAGAATGACCCCTGGCATCCCTTATTCAGGTCTGGTGCCAGAGAGACCACAGGTCCCAAGTCTTCCCTTCAGGTGCCACTCACCTGTCGCAGGCCACTTCACCAGATTAAAACCCCTCAAGGATCCAGACCTCACAGAGGTACTGGGAGCCCAGCCTGTGGTGGGAGCACCCCAGGTAGGGTCCATGTTGGCTCCATTATACAGGCTTCCCTGCTGTGCCTTGGCTCCTCCCATGTACACAGGCTACGGTGAGAGCATCACATGAGGCTCAGCATCTGCACCTCCCACAAACAGTGCATGACAGGAAGTGTGCCTCCAGACAGAGGACAAGGGACATCCTGAGTGCATGGCCCCCAGGAGCCCTGGATGGAACCCTGGCAGGAGGCTGGCCCGTTGAAGGGGCACTGCTAAGTGCACTAAGGAGAGGGATGGAAGATCCACTGCTGAGGTCAGTAGGACACGGGTGTGTATGACAATGCAGTTATGCAGGCTGAAGGGAAAGAGCAGAGGGAGCTGGACCAACCTAAGCACAGTCCTGCCGCTGCCCCTCTGCCCATCAGTGCCTCCCCGAGCCTGACTCATGGCTTCCAGAGGCCATTGTGAGGCCAGAGGCAAAGCCCCTGTAGCAAATGGGCACACTGCCTTCAGCTCAGGGGTC